TCAATTATTCAAACAATTAAACTCTTCTTTCCAAATATTTCCAGTGACTGGCATCTACATTTATGGCTTCCATGATGTAAACTGGGCTAGAGCAAATAACAATTGTGTTCTATGGAACAGCTAGGGAAATCTCAAATATAAGGCCCTTCATAACTGTTTTCAACCTGAGTCTACATTTTAGTTTCTTTCTTCAGCCTGGAGCCTCATTTACTGGAACTGGATCTTTCGTCTGCATGTAACCATGGCTTGGCTTTGCAAGTTTCACCAGAGGATGGCACAATAATAAGAACAGCAGAGTGTGAGCTGCCTAAATGTGAGCGCAGATCTCACAGGACATTGCATTAGGTGCCAAGACTCCTCTGGGGACTGGTGTGCCACACTCCACATCCTCTCACTGTGAAGGCTTCCAACTGTCCACTCGGCCCCTGCTGGAGGCACTGCACAGGGAAGGAGTCAGGCGAGCAACATCTCACTTCTATGAGGAAAATATGTGTCAGGGTCCATAAAGGAGATCTCTCATTGTGATTGGCTTTTGAAATATATCCTTGGAGGAATGACATGTGGGGAGGCCTGGAGTAGGAAATTACATAAAGAAAAATGGATGAGAGCTGACTTGCAAGGTTGTTTTAGAGAAATAGTCAAGTTAGTATTTTCCTGTTCTGTTTTCGCAATGTGCCCATATGCAGTGAGTCATTTATAGGGGAGCTTAGAATGAATCCTCTGAGGCCATAAGTGCTAGAACGTGCTTCTCAGGGTGCCTGATTCAGCTAGCAGAGGTGCTCTTGGGTGGGACGGAGTTGCAGCTGCTTACCTCAGTCATCTTTCCAGAGTTCAACTTCAAGACTTCAACCACAGTCCCTTTGACCCCAAAGCTGTGCGCTTGCCTGGGGGCAATGCTGCCTCTCCATCTAGTCTTCGCAGATGAGTCACTTGGACTTTCCTCATCTCCCACCACGAAGAGCTCTGCTCCGGTCCTTCGGGACGAGTACTGCAGCCCTGCCCTGAACATGCAGTGACCTTTCACACTGCCACTGTGCTACTCCTTGGACTAATTTCCACCTCGTTTCTGCATCTGGTGAAATATTTCAAGGTCTGTGTCCATTACCTTTTCCAAAACCCTTCCATAAGTCCTCAGGTGTTTCCCTTTCTTCTGTGCCCCTATGGCGCTTAACTTGAATAACTGTGCTTGGTCTGTGTATAAATGTCCACGTTTTTCCCACCAAAGTATGGATGTGGATTATTTTGTTCTTGTTCTTCTCCAGTGATCTTACCATACCTGGCACCATACCATGTACAGGATAGGAACAGAACACATAGTTTTTGAATGACTGCTGAGAACATATTTTCAAAATAGTTTTAAAGGACATGACTTATGTTATTAAAGTGTTTTTATGTTTTTTATTGATGCAAGTAATATATGTCATTGTAATGAAAGTTTTAAAATACAGATAGAATAAAGAACATGAAACTAACTCAGATCTCTGGTTAAACCAGAGATAACCACTTTGAAGATGTTGAGGTGTGTCCTCCTGGGAAGTTTTCTGTGCTTATGTGTACATGTTATGTTAATATTTTGAATGCACTCCAGTTAGCCAAATCATAGACAAGGATGGCTCTCTTAACCAAGATTAAACCTGATCTCCTTAGATCTCTGGGCCACAGGCTCATCCCTGGACCAAAGGACCAGAGGGATGCTGTAGTGGACAATCCCACCAGAGTCCACAATTGGGGAAGACATGAATGAGTGCCGAGCAGACAAAAATGGTGAGTGTCCACAACAGACTCACATGAAATATGAAAGAGTAGGACCTTATAGGAATGAGGAGCAGGACCCCAAAGAAACTGAAAAATTGCTAGCAATGACTTTCTCTGATAGTCAGTCTCTGGATCCACATGTGCTCTCATTTCTGCTTTTCTTTGAGCATCCGTTCCTTTGTTCTCTTTACCAAAAAAAAAATGCCTTTTCATGAAAACTCCTGTTTCTGGCTCCTCATGACCTTACCTTCCATGTGACTCTCACTCCCCCTGATGCTGATACTGGCCTACACAATAAGGCTGTGCTGTTCAGCTCCCTGCTGCCCTGTCTCAGCCTCTACTCCCGATTCTAGATGTCCAAGGGAAAGAATGACTGAAGTTAGGTCAGCTGTCTGGTTAAGTTACATCCCAGCACTGGAAGTAGGTGGGGTATTTTGAGAGGAGAATCTGTCTTCTATCTACCTGTTCTACTTGACCTTGCAGAGCTCACATCCTCTTTCACTGAAATACACACACACACACACACAGAGGCATCTTGCAGATTCCTCCAAGTACAAGCTCTCTCCTGCCTCAGGGCTTTCCCCATGCTACAGCCTCTGCCTACAATGTTCTTTTCTCCATAATTTTTTATTTGTTTGTTTTCCAGCTTTATTGAGACTTGATTGACATCTAACAGCATATAAGATTAAGCTGTACATATGATGGTTTTGATATATGAGTATAGTGCAAAATGATACCATAATACGGTGAGTTAACATCTCCATCCCCTCACATAATTTCTCTGTGTGTGTGTGTATGTGTGTGTGTGTAGTGAGAACGTTTAAGATCTACTCTCAGAGCAACTTTCCAGTATATAATATGTTTGTTAACTCTAGTCTCCACGCAGTACATTAGATTCCTAGAATGTATCCATCTTATTGCTGAGAGTTTGTATCCTTTGACCAACGTCTCTTCATTTCCCCTCTCCCCAGGCCCCGGCAACCACCATTATACTCTCTCTTTCTGTGAGTTCGGCTTTTTCCGATTCCACATATTTTTATGATCTATTTCAATGTATCCTTCACGTTTCAGCTTAAATATCACCTTTTCTGACAGGCTTTCTTGCTCACATAGTTTAGAAGGTGTCTCCTGGAAATTCAGTAGCATTATATGTGTGTGTTGTGTGTGTGTGTGTGTGTGTGTGTAAAATCTGTTCAATATTTTCTCCCTCTCTCCCTCACTGGTCTGCAAACATCCACAGAAAAAGAAATATAACTTCAATTTTTTTCTGAAATTTTATTATCTTTAGTTTGTAATCCATCGAGTAGCAGCAATTTAATCCCAATTTCCCTAGAGCTGCATCCATGTTCTGATGGCGTGTGGGGTGGGAGGGAGGCATTGGGTGGGATTAGCCAGCCCTTGATACATTCTCTCTCCATACTGGGATCAGAGAGAATGGATTTATTCAAGGCTGATCTTCAATCAAATCCATCCATTCACTGCCACATCCTCCCTAATTTCCATTTGCAAGCTGTCTAAGACAATATCTTTAAAATTGAAGTTTTCTCAAGAACCTGTTTACTCAATACAGGCTACTTTTCTAGATTGAGAAGAAAGAAAATCATCAAGCGCATCATGAAAATTATTATCTTTATTTGAATGGCTGAGAATTGACATCATGAAAAAGGATGTGATGGGGGAAGTCATACAGTACAAGAAATGGTCCGTGGATTGCAGTTATAACACTGTAATAATTTTCACTAAACCAAAATATTTTGAAAAAAATATGAAGCACTTTGAGAAGAGTATGAAACTGTTAGTTGTACCAGACTTTAACTATCTAGTGCTGCTTAATGAAATCTCATATGATCTGAACCTCTTTTGCAATCAATGGTCTATTTAAATTGATTATATTCACCCGCCTTGTATATCGCTCTTTCTGAGACGTTGCTGCAATTAATTTGTTTTAATTAGGGAGAGTAATGAGCTGTCATTTATTTTGCTTTTCAAATTATTCTCAAATAATTCTATATTGACAGAGTTTTAGGGGTTCTTAAAGCTGATTCCTACTATGACACAATTAAGGGAAAGATCATTTCTCTCCAGATCACAACTGAATGGCTTACTTTGGTACCTTTAATAAAGGGCATATGACAGCTCAGGATACTGAAAGAGTTCACAAATTTTTTTCATTGTATTATTTTAATCCACACATATTACTTGTAAAATTTGATGACTAAATCATTTTTAGTTGTGAGGCAGATGGGGATATGTGCTCCTTTATTTTTGGAAGTTGATTTTCTTGTGTCCTATTGTCTCTTGGCAATGTTCACAATCTAGCTAAATAATAATGTTTAAAGTAATGCATTTTTGCTTCTAAATAGAATCCAGTATTATCTCTTAACCCACCTAGAAAATAAACACGAATGGCTCATGATGAATCAAAATATTGTGTTTAATAATCAGCAGCGTTTGCACCAAGATGCTACCCAACATGCAGAGCAAAGTCGGCCTCTTAGTATAACAAGCTTTCCTAAAGAAAATTCATTCTTTTTTTTTTTCTTTTTTTAGAGAGAGAGCATGCTCAAGGAATGGGTGGTGGGGGAGGGTAGAGGGAGATAGAAGAGAATCTCAATCAGGCTCCACACCCAGTGCAGAGCCCACCATAGGGCTCGATTTCACAACCCTGAGATCATGACCTGAGCGGAAATCAAGAGCCAGATGCTTGACTTACTGAGCCACACACGTCCATCCAGGTGCCCCCCACCCAATTCATTCTTATAATAATAACAAAGCACTTTCCTGGTATTCTGCATGGTGAGGTAGGAAGAACATGAAATTCGGATTCAAATATCCTGGAGTTGACCCCTGCCAAACTTCTGGAGCCACACAATTAATATGCAATAAAGGGACTCTTGTAGTAAAAGTCAATGTGCCCACAGGAGCATCTGCCTCTTTAAAAGTCCCTTCCTGACCCATAACACCAGTGAATGCATGTCAGCACAGAGACAGTGGAACATCAGGATTAAAAGCACAGACTCTAGGATGTGATGGCCCTTAATTACATCGTGCCCTCTGCACTCACCGGCTGTCAGAACTCAGGCAGGTTAACTCATCTCTCTGCCTCAGTCTTTTTATCAGCTGTGAAATGAGAATAATAAAATAGTATCTCCCTCATGGAGCTGCTGTGAGGATTTAATGAGTTAATTAATGTAAGGCTCTGAGGACAGTGTGTGGGATGGACTAAGAATGAAATGAATACTCACTATGATTAAATGATGTTCATGGCCAAAGGCTTCTACTCGTCACCAAACTGTCCTCGGTTCATTTCGGTTCTGCTTTCTGGTTCCTCTGACTGCTGCCACCCACAGCCTCCCACATCCTGTGTTTCCTTCTTTATGGACTGGGGATTTATGACTGTGGGCTAACCTGTATTAAAATTTATGGCTTATGTTAAATGCTTGTATTTTCCTAATTGCAAAAGAATAATATACGTTCTCCAAAGTTAGAAAATACATAAAAGTGTAAAGAGAAAAATAGAAATTAAAAAACTAAGATTTATGTTTTATGCATTTCCTCCAAGTATATTTTCCTAGGTATGTACATGTTCAACTAAATTTGCATTTAGTTACATGTGGATTTTTTTTCAATAAATCCATGAATTACATGTGGATTTTTTTTTTCAATAAATACAAGTGGATTTTTTTTCTTTTTAAGATTTTATTTGTTTATTTTGACAGAGAGACAGACAGAGTGATCACAAGCAGGGGGAGTGGCAGAGGGAGAAGCAGGCTCCCCACTGAGCAAGAAGCCTGACGCAGGACTTGATCCCAGGACCCTGGGATCATGACCTGAGCCGAAGGCAGACACTTAACCTACTGAGCCACCCAGGCGCATCCTTTGCCTTACTTTTAAAACATTTCTTCAAGAAATATAAAATGGAAAAGGAAAGTGATAAGATCATCTGGGGTTTGGTTCACCTATTTTGGGCTTAAGTTTAAAAACCAAGCACACTTTCAGCTTTCTCTTAAAAATTCACTTATGAAGGTGTTACTGAGAATATTTGTAAGAAAGTGACCCCCAGGAAAATGACATATAAAATGGCTTAAACGTAGTTTTTCTACATAAAAGCCATAGTGCATCCAGTTTTAGGATTTGTGGCTACCATCTGCTTGGTTCATAGTCTATAACTCCGAATCCAGGCATTAGACACGAGTGGATTGCTGCACTGCAAGGGACAGCTGATCTTTGATCGTGGCTCCTGGAGGCAGAGAAGAGCAGGGCAAAGGCAGAGAGACAGAAATGAGAGTGTGTGGGTGTTGCCTTTCATCTTGTAGTGGTTTAAATGATATACTCTTTTAACCTTTAGGTGACATAGCAAGACTAAAACATGTCCAGTTTGAATAAGATGCATTGCTTAAGAATTAGTTATATGTTATCCTAAGGAATGATTGTTCTTAACACCCCTGAGTAGATTCTCATAATAACAACAAAAGTGTTATAGAGAAAAACTCAGGGAAAACAATATTTTACAGTTGACCATTGAATAACTTGGGGGCCAGGGGTGCAGGCCCCCTAAGCAGTCAAAACTCCACATATAACTTCGACTTCCCCCAAACTTAACTACTAATAGCCTACTGTTGACATAGCTATAAACAGTTGATTAATATATATTTGTACTTATATTTGTACAAGCAAGCCAGAGAAAAGAAATGTTATTAAGAAAATCATGAGGAAGAGGGGCACCTGGGTGGCTCAGTTGGTTAAGCGTCTGCCTTAGGCTCAGGTCATGATCCTGGGGTCCTGGAATCCAGCCCCGCATTGGGCTCCCTGCTCTGCGGGAAGCCTGCTTCTCCCTCTCCCACTCCCCCTGCTTGTGTTCCCTCTCTCGCTGTGTCTCTCTCTGTCAAATAAATAAAATCTTTTTTAAAAAAAAAGAAAATCATGAGGAAGAGGGGGAGCCTGGGTGGTGCAGTTGGTTAAGTGACCAACTCTTGGTTTTGATTCAGGTCGTGATCTCAGGGTCATGAGATCAAGTCCCGTGTTGGGCTCTGCACTCACCCTGAAGTCTGCTTCAGACTCTTTCTCCCTCTCTCTCTCTGCCCTTCCAATCTGTCCCCCGCCCACTGCTCTCATTCAAATAAATAAATTAATTTAAAAAAAGAGAAAATCATAAGGAAGAGAAAATACAGTACTGTGGTATATTTATTGAAAAAAATCGGGTACCTGGGTGGCTCAGTCAGGTCAGCATCTGCCTTCAGCTCAGGTCATGATCCCAGGGTCCTGGGATCGAGCCCCGCATCAGGTTTCCTGCTCCTTGAGGAGCCTGCTTCTCCTCCCTCTGCCTGTCACTCCCCCTGCTTGTGCTCTCTCTCTCTCTGTCAAATAAATAAATAAAATATTTTTAAAAAGTAAAACAAAGATCTTTTGGCTAATTAAAAAATTTATACATGAGAATAAATATTCCTAAGGTTTACTTAGGACTACCAGATGTCAAAAAACGTACACTCTAAAAGTTATCAATTGCTTTCTTTCTTGAATATTAGGTATACTATTTTAAAAAGTTATATAAAAATAGCCCATGTTTCATAAAGGAGTTTATCAATATCCTTCACCATGTAAAAAGGAAAGCAGATACAGGGACTGAAATACTCATAAAAAAGAAAAGAAATGAAGCTATTTTACTGGCATTATGCTTACTAGCAAAAAAACAGTGCCTAGTGGGTTTTAAGTAGCAGTTTAGCTAAACTTCTTAATTTGTCAACATGTAGTGGTTTTGACAATCTACTTCAACCAAGCTCAGCTCTATGCCATGCATTCCAGGCAGGGCATGTGGTGTGGCCTTTGTTGCCTGGGGACAGGGACCTCAAAAGTACAGGGGAAGAGACAGTCCCTGCCATGGCTCATTGGACAAAGGAGAATGCAATGAGCTCCTGTGAATATACACTGATATATGTGCCACATCTCTTCCTGAGCCTGAGCCAACACAAAGTGGGATTGGATTGCCTTGACTTTCAAAGTTCCCCACCCATCCTGACTAGGATGCTCCCAGAAACAAACAACACCAAATTTCTTGCTCAGGGAACAGTGCAGTGAGGGTGAATGGTGGGCTCTGCTTTATGAAATGATTCCAGGACCACAGACCCTTCTATCTAGTCACTCCACCATCTTTCCTTTATTAGATCCTCTCCACCTGGACAGCTGACAAGGGATAAGACAAAGAAAGAGACACCCGGCCTGACCATCTCAACCTGGATGGTGACATTTCTAACTTCCTATATTCTACTAGCAAGAACTAGTCTCACGGGCCCACCTACATGCAGGGTCTGCCACATACATCAGAAAATCGATTTCTATTTTCCTTCAATTCTGTGACCTTTTTTCATTTCTTTTTCATTTCCTAAGTGGCTATTTTCCTAAAAAATGAGTAGAAAACCTGTTATTGAAAAATCTCACACATCCCTCTAAGATGTAGCCTGATGTAGTGGAAATATACTAACATTTGATGTAAATATCATTGACATCTCAATAACCTGTTCCCATTATCTGTGAGAAAATGCAAAATTTGGGCTGAACAATTATAATGTGGCATTTAAACCTCCTCTACCAACCTCCCATCTTAGAAATCATATTTAAAGTAAAACTCTCAACATGTTATGCTATTCTTAGCTCAGATAGAAAATGATGCTGGTTATAGCACTCTAACTATGGTGTTGCCATGGTTATCTACCTATTAATGATTAAACTTGCTTCCTTATGCTCATTAGAATGTATATCTTGAAAACAAAAAAGAGGTTTCCGTTTATTAGCAGATTATAAGGCCCAAAGTTCTCAAACAAAAGTTTGGACATTAGAAACCAGTTCAGGCTCTGACAGTCAACAGATCCTTCTCTTGTGTCTATGGAATGAGCAGTTTTTTTCCCCCCTCATTAGCTACAGCAATCAATTTTCAAAGGGATAAACATTTTACGCTTCATAGAGTCATTATAACTTCCTAGGAAGAGAGAAACTTAGTGAGAGATAGTATGAATTATGCAAAAATATAAATTTGTTTAAAAACCAGAAAGCATCAGCAAATTGAATCTGTTTCTTCATTTCCATTTTTTATCAGACCCATCCTCTTGAGTCTACATACAAACTATCACCACATATTACCAAATCAATCAAAATGTCTGAATCATAGGAATAAGGTTAATAATAGTTTTTCACAGAAATGACTCTGAGACTTATATGCAAGATATCTTTGTTTACTGTGTTTTCAAAAGCAGTCAAATGTTTGTAGGTATTTCTAGTTTCCAGAACAGCAGATAATTTATCTCCTCACTACAGGTTTTTAGGAAGAGTTAAAACTTGGGAACTCTGTATAAGATATCTACATCTTCAGATCAGTTTGTTCTGCATGAGAAAAGAACAAAGGAATGATGTGGTCCTGTGCTGCTCTATTTGTTTATTCAATGAACATTTCCTGAGGGCTTAGTAAGTGTCAAGCCCTGTCCTGCTGCTGGGGTACAGAAATGAACAAAACAGACATAGTTTCTACCTGGAGGAATGATAAAGGCCTAAACAAAGGCTTGTGGATTAATCACTCTCTTTGGACAAGATGAACCTTTAGCCTGGCCTTCAAATTCTTCAGCCTTTATTTTAAGCCTTCCTTGCAAGAGTCTACCCTATTCCTCCCAAACTGGTTGGCTATATACATCACTAGGAACCAAATTCCTATGGCCAGGATCCTGTTTTCTATCTCCAATTAGATTACAAGGCCTAACTCAAATCCTACTTCTTCCATAAAGCCTTCTCTAACTGGATGGTCTCTCAGTCCTCTGAAAACCCATAAACTTTTTTTTAAGTAAGCTCTATGCTTAAGTGGGGCTTGAACTCATGACCCCGAGATCAAGAGTTGCAGGCGCTACTGACTGCCAGCTAGGCACTCCCCCTAAACTTTTTTTTAATGTAGGAAACTCTATTGAGTTTACATTATGAATCAAGTACTTTAAAAAACTATAATTTATTTGGGGGGGGCGGAGCAAGATGGCGGAGGAGTAGGAGACCTGGATTTCGTCTCCTCTCAGGAATTCAGCTGGATAGGGATCAAACCATTCTGAACACCTACAAACTCAACAGGAGATCGAAGAAAAGAAGAGCAACAACTCTCTCATCAGAAAAGCGACCACTTTCTGGAAGGTAGGACGTGCGGAGAAGTGAATCCGAGGCGATATTCGGGAGGATAGACGGCGGGGGAGGGGCCTCCGTCGGCCGCTTCTGGCAAGTGATAGAGCCGCGGAGCACAAAATCGGAACTTTTAAAAGTCTGCTCCGCCGAGGGACGTCACTCTGGTGGCTAAGCGGGGGTGGAACCCTCCGGGACAGTGTGGTCTCAGGACCCTCGGGGTCACAGAAAGACAGGGGGTGCCTGAATGCGGCAGAGCTCCCAGGTATCCGAGCAGGGAAGCCGATGCTGAGACGGAGCCCAGGCACGGGCTCTCAGCTCGGGGTGGCCATAAACCGTGATCCGCGGCACAGTCGGGCCCCTGCTCCTCCAGCAGGGACCCAACAAGCGGCAGATCTGGAGAGACTCACCTTCCTCCCCTGTGAGGAGCCGCGCGGAAGGGCACCGCAGGGATCTGCTGGGTTTGGAGACTCCACCCCGGGTTGGGTGCCAGAGATAGAAACGCACGGTCACAGGCCGGGTGAGCGGAGTGCGGCCGGAGACCGGGGAGACGGGAGTGACTGACGGCTTTTCTCTGGGGGCTCACTGAGGAGCGGGCCCCGAGTTCTCGGCTCCTCCAGGGCGGAGATTGGGAGGCCGCCATTTTCACTCTCCACCTCCAAAGCTGTAAGGAAAGCTCGCAGGGAACAAAAGCCCCGGAGAGCAAACCCGAGCAGATTACTTAGCCGGGAGGGGGCAAGGGCGGGGCAATTCCGCCTCCGGCAGAGACATTTGGAAACCACGGCAACAGGCCCCTCCCCAGAAGATCAGCAAGAACAGCCAGCCAAGACCAAGTTTACTGATCAATGAGAGCGGCAGAACTCCAGTGCTAGGGGACTACTGCACATAGAATTCACGGCTTTCTTACCACGATTCTTTAGTCTTTTAAAGTTAATTTTTTTAACTGTCTTTTTGTCTTTTTATTTCTTTTTGAATTTTTCTTTTTCCCTTTTTCAACCAACATCTTATCAATCCCTTTTTTTAAAAAAAAAAACATTTTTATTTTTCATTTTTAGAGTCATAGTCTATCCCTTCATAGTAGTTACCCATATTTTTGGCTTATATATATAAGTTGTTCTCTCTTTAAAATTTTGAGATAGTTTCTTCTAACAGATTAAAATATACCCTAAATCTCTAGTATATGGTGTTTTCTATTCCCCTGCCTGATCACATCCTCTCCCTTTTTTTTTCTTTTTCTTTTTTCTTTTTTTAAATCCTCTTTTTTCTTTTTTCAAACAACTTCTTATCAATTCCTTTTATAAAATTTTTTATAATTTCCATTTTTACAGTCATATTCCATCCCTTCATCATATCAACCCTTATTTTTGTACATATGTAAGTTTTTCTTTCTTAAAATTTTGGGAGGCACTTTCTTCTAAAAGACCAAAATACACCCCAAATCTAGTGTGTGGCACTGATCTATATACCAGCCTGATCATATTTGATCACATTCTGGTTTTTGTTGTTGTTGTTGTTGTTTTGTTTTGTTTGTTTTTGTTTTTATCTTTATCTTTTTCTTTTTTTTTCTTTTTCTTTTTTCTCTCTTTCCCTTTCTTATCCCACTGCTTCAGGTCTTTTCTGATTTGTTTAGAGTATATTTTCTGGGGACATGGTTACTCTGCTAGCATTTTGTTCTCTCATTAATCTATTCTCCTCTGCACAAAATGACAAGACGGAAAAAATCACCTCAACAAAAAGAACAAGAGGTAGTACCGACTGCCAGGGACCTACTCAATACGGACATTACTACGATGTCAGATCTAGAGTTCAGAATCATCACTTTAAAGATATTAGCTGGGCTTCAAAAAAATATGGAAGTTATTAGAGAAACCCTTTCTGGAGAAGTAAAAGAGCTAAAATCCAACCAAGTAGAAATCAAAAAGGCTATTAATGAGGTGCAATAAAAAATGGGGGCGCTAAGTGCTAGAATAAATGAGGCAGAAGAGAGAATCAGTAATATAGAAGATGAAATGATGGAAAATAAAGAAGCTGAGAAAAAGAGAGATAAACAACTACTGGATCACAAGGGCAGAATTTGAGAGATAAGCGAAATCATAAGATGAAACAACATTAGAATAATTGGGATCCCAGAAGAAGAAGAAAGAGAGAGAAGGGCAGAAGGTATAATGGAGCAAATTATAGCAGAGAACTTCCCTAATTTGGGGAAAGAAACAGGCATGAAAATCCAGGAAGCAGAGAGAACCCCTCTCAAAATCAATAAAAATAGGTCAACTCCCCGACATCTAATAGTAAAACTTACGAGTCTCATAGACAAAGAGAAAATCCTGAAAGCAGCCCAGGAGAAGAGATACGTAACCTACAAGGGTAGAAACATTAGATTGGCAACAGACCTATCCACAGAGACCTGGCAGGCCAGAAAGGACTGGCAGGATATATTCAGAGCACTAAATGAGAAAAATATGCAGCCAAGAATACTCTATCCAGCTAGGCTGTCATTGAAAATTGAAGGAGAGATAAAAAGCTTCCAGGACAAACAAAAACTAAAGGAATTTGCAAAAACAAAACCAGCCCTACAGGAAATCTTGAAAGGGGTCCTCTAAGCAAAGAGAGAGCCTAAAAGCAACATAGACCAGAAAGGAACACAGACAATATACGGTAACAGTCACTTTACAGGCAATACAATGGCACTAAATTCCTATCTTTCAATAGTTACCCTGAATGTAAATGGGCTAAATGCCCCAATCAAAAGACACAGGCTAACAGACTGGATTAAAAAACAAGACCCATCGATATGCTGTCTGCAAGAGACTCATTTTAGAACCAAAGACACACCCAGATTGAAAGTGAGGGGGTGGAAAACCATTTACCATGCTAATGGACACCAAAAGAAAGCTGGGGTGGCAATCCTTATATCAGACAAATTAGATTTTAAACCAAAGACTGTAATAAGAGATGAGGAAGGACATTATATCCTACTTAAAGGATCTATCCAACAAGAAGATCTAACAATTGTAAATATCTATGCCCCTAACATGGGAGCAGCCAATTATATAAGGCAATTAATAACAAAAGCAAAGAAACACATCGACAACAATACAATAATAGTGGGGGACTTTAACATCCCCCTCACTGAAATGGACAGATCATCTAAGCAAAAGATCAACAAGGAAATAAAGACTTTAAATGACACACTGGACCAAATGGACTTCACAGACATATTCAGAACATTCCATCCCAAAGCAAGGGAATACACATTCTTCTCTAGTGCCCATGGAACATTCTCCAGCATAGATCACATCCTAGGTCATAAATCAGGTCTCAACCGGTACCCAAAGATTGGGATCATTCCCTGCCTATTTTCAGACCACAGTGCTTTGAAACTTGAACTCAATCACAAGAGGAAAGTCGGAAAGAACTCAAACACATGGAGGCTAAAGAGCATCCTACTGAAGAATGAATGGGTCAACCAGGAAATTAAAGAAGAATTAAAAAAATACATGGAAACCAATGAAAATGAAAACACAACTGTTCAAAATTTTTGGGATGCAGCAAAGGCGGTCCTAAGAGGAAAGTATATAGCAATACAAGCCTTTCTCAAGAAACAAGAAAGGTATCAACTACACAACCTAACCCTACACCTAAAGGAGCTGGAGAAAGAACAGCAAATAAAGCCTAAACCCAGCAGGAGAAGAGAAATAATAAAGATCAGAGCAGAAATCAGTGAAATAGAAACTAAAAGAACAGTAGAAGAGATCAACGAAACTAGGAGCTTGTTCTTTGAAAGAATTAACAAGATTGATAAACCCCTGGCCAGACTTATCAAAAAGAGAAGAGAAATGACCCAAATCAACAAAATCATGAATGAAAGAGGAGAGATCACAACCAACACCAAAGAAATACAAACAATTATAAGAACATATTATGAGGAACTCTATGCCAGCAAATTAGATAACCTGGAAGAGATGGATGCATTCCTAGAGATGTATCAACTACCAAAACTGAACCAGGATGAAATAGAAAACCTGAACAGACCTATAACCACTAAGGAAATTGAAGCAGTCATCAAAAATCTCCCAAAAAACAAAAGCCCAGGGCCAGATGGCTTCCCAGGGGAATTCTACCAAACATTTCAAGAAGAATTAATACCTATTCTTCTGAAACTGTTCCAAAAAATAGAAACGGAAGGAAAACTTCCAAACTCATTTTATGAGGCCAGCATTACCTTGATCCCAAAACCAGACAAAGACCCCATCAAAAAGGAGAATTACAGACCAATATCCCTGATGAACATGAATGCAAAAATTCTCACCAAAATACTAGCCAATAGGATCCAACAGTACATTAAAAGGATTATTCACCATGACCAAGTGGGATTTATCCCTGGGCTGCAAGGTTGGTTCAACATCCGCAAATCAATCAATGTGATACAATACATTAACAAAAGAAAGAACAAGAATCATATGATCCTCTCAATAGATGCAGAAGAAGCTTTTGACAAAGTACAGCATCCTTTCTTGATCAAAACTCTTCAGAGTATAGGGATCGAGGGTACATACCTCAATATCATAAAAGCCATCTATGAAAAACCTACAGCGAATATTATTCTCAATGGGAAAAAACTAAGAGCTTTCCCCTAAGGTCAGGAACGCGGCAGGGATGTCCACTATCACCACTGCTATTCAACATAGTATTGGAAGTCCTAGCCACAGCAATCAAACAACAAAAAGAAATCAAAGGCATCCAAATTGGCAAAGAAGAAGTCAAACTCTCACTCTTTGCAGATGATATGATACTTTAGGTGGAAAACCCAAAAGACTCCACCCGAAAACTGCTAGAACTCATACAGGAATTCAGTCAAGTGGCAGGATATAAAATCAATGCACAGAAGTCAGTGGCATTCCTATACACAAACAACAAGACAGAAGAAAGACAAATTAAGGAGTCGATCCCATTTACAATTGCACCCAAAACCATAAGATACCTAGGAATAAATCTAACCAAAGAGACAAAGGATCTGTACTCAGAAAACTATAAAATACTCATGAAAGAAATTGAGGAAGACACAAAGAAATGGAAAAACGTTCCATGCTCATGGATTGGAAGAACAAATATTGTGAAGATGTCAATGCTACCTAGAGCAATCTACACATTCAATGCAATCCCCATCAAAATACCATCCACTTTTTTCAAAGAAATGGAACAAATAATCCTAAAATTTGTATGGAACCAGAAAAGACCCCGCATAGCCAGAGGAATGTTGAAAAAGAAAAGCAAAGCCGGCGGCATCACAATTCCAGACTTCCAGCTCTATTACAAAGCTGTCATCATCAAGACAGCATGGTACTGGCACAAAAACAGACACATAGATCAATGGAACAGAATAGAGAGCCCAGAAATGGACCCTCAACTCTATGCTCAACTAATCTTCGACAAAGCAGGAAAGAATGTCCAATGGAACAAAGACAGTCTCTTCAACAAATGGTGTTGGGAAAATTGGATAGCCACATGCAGAAGAATGAAACTGGACCATTTCCTTACACCACATACAAAAATAAGACTCCAGATGGTTGAAAGACCTCAATGTGAGACAGGAGTCCATCAAAATCCTAAAGGAGAACACAGGCAGCAACCTCTTTGACCTCAGCCGAAGCAACTTCTTCCTAGAAACATCGCCAAAGGCAAGGGAAGCAAGGGCAAAAATGAACTATTGGGACTTCATCAAGATAAAAAGCTTTTGCAAAGCAAAGGAAACAGTCAACAAAACCAAAAGACAACCGACAGAATGGGAGAAGATATTTGCAAATGACATATCAGATAAAGGGCTAGTATCCAAAATCTATAAAGAACCCATCAAACTCAACACACAAAGAACAAATAATCCAATCAAGAAATGGGCAGAAGACATGAACAGACATTTTTCCAAAGAAGACATCTAAATGGCCAACAGACACATGAAAAAGTGCTCAATATCGCTCAGCATCAGGGAAATCCAAATCAAAACCTCAATGAGATACCACCTCACACCAGTCAGAATGGCTAAAATTAACAAGTCAGGAAACGACAGATGTTGGCGGGGATGCGGAGAAAGGGGAACCCTCCTCCACTGTTGGTGGGAATGCAAGCTGGTGCAGCCACTCTGGAAAACAGTATGGAGGTTCCTCAAAAAGTTGAAAATAGAGCTACCATATGATCCAGCAATTGCACTACTTACTGGGTATTTACCCCAAAGATACAAAAGTAGGGATCCGAAGGGGTACGTGCACCCCGATGTTTATAGCAGCAATGTCCACAATAGCCAAACTGTGGAAAGAGCCAAGATGCCCATCGACAGATGAATGGATAAAGAAGAGGTGGTATATATATACAATGGAATATTATGCAGCCATCAAAAGGAATGAGATCTTGCCATTTGCAACGACGTGGATGGAACTGGAGGGTATTATGTTGAGTGAAATAAGTCAAACAGAGAAAGACATGTATCATATGATCTCACTGATATGAGGAATTCTTAATCTCAGGAAACAAACTGAGTGTTGTTGGAGTGGGGGGTGGGGTGGGAGGGATGGGGTGACTGGGTGATAGACACTGGGGAGGGTATGTGCTCTGGTAAGCGCTGTGAATTGTGCAAGACTGTTGAATCTCAGATCTGTACCTCTGAAACAAATAATGCAA